AGTGAGAGGCAATAAACTGCTCGTACTTTCTACACCCCACACAAAATATCGACGTGCATTGGACCCGTTAAATATATGTAATAAGAACTGTCCTGTATGATGACAAAAAGTCAATTGATACTGCACCAGTGAATGTACTGGATAACAGAAATCTGCAACCTGCCACTAGATCTTAGATCACTAGATTTTAGTAAAGGCAGAGTCCAGGGAAAAACTTCAAGAAATTCTCGTGGTGATGAGTAAAGAGAGACCAAAACAATCTCAATAAATAATAATAATAATATCGCGACTATCACGGCACATCACTTCACCTATACATGTTCCGGTAACTACCTATAAATAATCTAGATGGAAGTTTGACCCGTGTCAAAGGTTGGTATGTGGCTGACGATTCGGGAAGTGGCTGCGGGTTGACGAAAGGGAAAAGCGCCACGGCGCGATCTTTTGCCGGGAGGAAGAAAATCGGTCGGGTCGTTCGTTTCCGTCTTGTGTGCCCTCCAGTTCGGACAAGACACGTCTAGAGTGTTGGCCTACTGGCCGTATTATTCCATAACATAGAGTTATCTCCTTTTGAAACGTATCTATGTTCCACACACTGTGTCCCAACGCTGTGTCCTCGGTACATAGCTATAAATAGTCGAGGTCAATGAACTCAAAGCGGGAATAAGAAATGAATAGGTTTTTAAAGGAAAATTGGTAAAATTGTTAATATGCATTTAAACCAGGTGGTTTGCGCGTAGATCTAATTCAAAAGCTTGTTCACTCACAACATCAGTTCTGTACGATTGTTGGTTTGCTAATTTTGTTAGTTGAATGAGAAATAGAACAGAAGGACTGAACAACAGTGAAACAGAAATGATGTTTCTTTGCTGTAGGCGGGTGCTTTGGTAGGGTTTTACTCCTTCTTTCTTATCCATCCTCATGATCTATTCTCCTTCTTTTTTTGGGGGTACATTTCTCTCTAGAGATACCTTTAATCTTCCGCACTTATATGACCTAACTGAGTTGCAAGTGTCGTAAAACTTTTACTAGAAAGAAAGCCAATGAAGTGAATAGATCTAGATCTAGCCTTCAAGCTTTTGAAATTGATTGTCTCACGATTTCCTTTTTGGACCCTGTCCGTTTTTCCCGTGGACTCCTCCTTTACAAACTAGATTCTACATCTAATAGACATTTATTCTGAAAACCTAGATGAAGCCAAGGACAAACGTTTGAGATTTCGTATATACCTCAATTTACTAGTCTAAATAATATCTAAAAGAAATTTGAGACTGTCATTGTTAAGCCTCGTTAAAAAAAATAATTAAAAAACAATTTCCTTTCAAGAGATGTGCTTATCATTGCTGATTGTGCTGTACTGTATTATTATGAATGTCTGCTCATGTGTTAGTGTTAATCTAAAGACCGTTTGTATGCACGATTATGTACTTGTGTTTTGTGCTGAGATAAAGGTATTGTAAAGCGCCCAGGGCTGTATTGTATGGGAGTGGACGCTATAGAAATTATCTGCATTGTAATAAAAAATTAATATAAAATGATGATGATGATGATGATGATGATGATGATGATGATGATGATGATGATGATGATGATGAT